CAGCAGAACCGCAGGTGGGGGGCGGCCACTGTATGACAGGGAATGACGAGGCAGGGGGCCTCATTTAGCTCTAGGTGACAGGAGGTGACTCTCAAGCTGAGGCCTCCTGGGCACCGTACCCGGGAAGGTGCAGGGAGGGTGTTCCTGAGAGAAGGACTGTTTGCTGCCTAAGGAGGGGACCTGGGAAGCTGGGGTCAGTCGCACGGGGTCCTGCTGGGGGTCTGGAGGAGTCTGGGTGTCACCCACCCGCAGCGGAGCCCCCAGGACCCAGGAGGTGGCGGGACACAGAGGCCCCTTCTCCTACGGGTTTTCCTGGTGACTTGAGGACAGCCAGCGTCCAGAATCCCTGGCCAGAGGGCCTTGGGGGCAGCGCCTGGTGCCAGCTCCTCTCTCTCCGTGGCCACCCTCTTCCCCAAGGCCACGGAAGTTTCAGGATCGAGGGGAGAAGAAAGCCAGCGGGATTCTGGAACCTTCCCTGGGCCGCCTTCTCATCCTCCACTCTCTGCCTTGGCTCACCTTCTGGGGAAGACCTTGAATTCAGAGGGTGGGCATGAAGTGCGTCCCCTCAGGCTGCTGACCCGCTCCTTCTGCCCGATGTTCTAGAAATCCCTTCCCTGCAGGCTGCTGAGGGCTCGCGGTTCTCTTTGTGGGTGGGAGCCAGTGAAGACGCGGGCGGGACCCCTGCTCAGTGACAAGCCTCAGGCCAGACCACACTACCAGGAGGCCATTCCTGCAGGAGGAGAGAAAAGGGGGAGGAAATGGCAGGAGGCGACAGAGGGCAGGAGACGCAAAGCGGGGAGAAGAGGGAACTGGGGCTGGGACTCTGGCCACACGCAGTGACCTTGGCTTGTTATCTCTGCTACCAGGCAGGGGACAAGCCCTTGGCTTATCGTAGCCCACCCTCCCGACAGCCCCCAAGGCAGGTGCTTTCATGAGTCCCACTCAACAGAGGAGGAAACAGGCTCAGAGAGGTGAGGTCACCTTCCCAAAGTCACACAGCAGGGAGGGGAAGACCTGCAATTCAAACACTGAGACCCAGAACCCTGGCTCTCGGGCTCTGCTCTGCTCCTGGCTCCTGGCACACCCCCAGGCAGACCACGAGGGACATGAGCTCACCTTGGGTACGTCCAGTTCTGCCTGTTATTGCCTTCTCCCAGATGACTGAGGTGGTCTTCACAATAGCTCCTTGCTCATCCGGGTACCTTCCAGTTTCTTCTGTAGCCAGCAGTGATGTTTATATTTTGATAAAATACATATAAAATAAAATTCACTTTTTAATCTTTTTTTTTCTTTTTTTGCATCAGGGATTGTACCGAGGGGCGTTTAACCACTGAGCCATGTCCCCAGCCCTTTCTGTTTTTTATCGTGAGACAGGGTTTCACCAAATGGCTGAGGGCCTCACTGAGGTGCTGACTGGCCTCAAACTTGTAATCCTCCTGCCTCAGCCTCCCAAGGTTCTGGGATTCCAGGTGTGTGCCAGCTCACCGGGCTCGCTGTTTAACCATTTTTAGTGTCAGGGGCTTTAAGTCCGTTCACCCCATCTTGCAAGTGTCACTACCATCCTGTTCCCAAACGTCATTGCCCCAAACAGAAACTCTGCTCCCTCCGAGGAGGGACACCTACCGTCTCCCTTCCCTCTTCCAGGTTCTTCTTGCAGGAGAGTTGGGTTGGATGTGACCCTGTTCCTCTGGGTGGCGAGACCCCTTCTGTTTACCATCCATCTCTTGAGCAACAGTTAGGCGGCTCCCGCCTTTTGGTTGATGAATAGTGCTGCAAAAACCCCCCAAATTCAGTGGTCATTTGAGTCCCTGTTTTGAATGCCTGGGGGCACACCCAGAGGAAGAGGCGCCCTTTCCCATCACACTTGAGTAGCTCCAGGGCTACCCATCTACCTGGCTCTTCCCTGCCTGCTTCTCCTTGTCCCCAGCCTGCTCCCATGCTCCCTCTGCTCCAGCCACCTGGCCTTTCTGCTGCCCATACAGTGCGGGTTGCTCCTGCCCCAGGGCCTTTGCACTGGCCATTCCCCTTCCTCTGAGCTCAGCCCCTCCCTTCACTCCAGCCTAGCTTCCTTTGCTGCTTTCTCTTTAGACACCCTGGTCTAAAGCAGTACCCCACCCCAGCCCCTCGATCTTCATGGCACTAAATACCAGCTGAAAGGCTGTGGCTTGTGCCTATGTCTCTCTACCACTCCATCATGCCCCCTGGAGCTCAGCAGAGGGCGAACCCCTGAATACCACCCTCCTCGTTGAATACCAGAATGAACCTGTGGCTTTGCTGATATGGTGGCTTCAGGGGCTTCATCTCATCTTTGATGAATGATGGGAAAGAGCGTTTCTCCTCGGGAACCTCTGCCCTCTATAGGGTGGGCGCCACGACCCCGGGCGGGGGCCCTGCCTTCCCCACCGGAGGGCAAGTCCAGGGATGGGATTTGGGGTCCGCTTCCCAACGTGGCTTTGGCCGCCCCTGCCTGTGGTGGCCGGGAGGCCCCGCACCTGGAGATAGGCGTGATGGATGGGTGTGGAGGAGGCCTGGGAGGAGAGGGAGGGACGGCAGTGACACTATTTAGCTGAGGGACGACCTCCTGACACATCAATGCAGGCTGCCAGGGATGGAGGCGGCTGCCGCGGTCCAGGAGTCTACTGGGGGCGGTGTCTGTCCGGGTGCCAGTCTGGGTGCGCATGCTCGCACCTGTGCGCATCTGTGCGTCTGTCTCCTTTGTGTGTCTGTTTTTGAGTGTCTGATTGTGTCTTATTTTTTTTTGCAATACGGAGGATGGAACCCAGGCCCCAGAGCTGCCAGGCAGGTGCTCCGTCACTGAGCCACCCCCCTTATTTATTTATTTTAAAATTGGACACAGGGTTTCCCTCAGTGGCCAAGCTGACCCAGCTCTCGTGAATCTCCTGCCTCAGCCTCCCCAGACAGCTGGGGTGACAGGTGTGCGCCACGGCACCCGGCTGCTGGGGCCTGGGTGTGGATTGGATCTGTGTCTTTGCCGTCTGTGTGCACGTGCGTGTCCCTGGGGTGCACGTCTGTCTGTATTGGTGTGTCTGTCTTTTGTGTGGCTGAGCGGAAGAGCTGGACCCCAGGGACATTCCCGCTTGGAATTCATCGACTCCACTGGTCAAACCCTCCCGGGCTGAGCGCCTCCCATGCACCAGACTCAGAACCTCGGTGTACAGCTCCCAGGGCCCCAGACCCCGAGGACCAGGGACAGGGTGACTTGTAAACAAGGGCTGGTGGCATTGACCGCTAACTGGGTGTCTCAGGTGCTTTCTGTGGGTGTTTTAAGATGAAGCGAGGACTGTCTATTCCCACAGAGAGATGGAAGTCACTCAAGGTCAAACAGCAAGGGGGCGGGGTGGGGTGGCACTGGCCAAACCCAGGAAGCTGACCTCTGGAACTCACGGGCTTTATTTGCCTCAGAGACCTCTATGAATTAACACGAGGGCACAGCACTTGGGAGATTTATTTATTTATTTTTTTAATTTTTGATGACCAAACATCTCTTGTGTTTCCAGGACAGTTAAAAAGGGTCCGAATCCCGGGGCTGGGGGTGTAGTTCAATCCCAACATTGAAGGAAAAAAAAAAAAAACAACCCAGACCCCAAGTCACCACTGAGTCAGCCACCGTCACACACAGCTGACTGAGGGCTGCTGGTGTCCATGGTTCAGATGAGTGGGGGGGATAGTGGGGGACAGTGGGGGTGTGGTGACCAGTGGGGGACCCTGCTTACACTCCCCATGTCCCTAATGAGAAGTGGCACGTGTCAGAGGACCTCCGGCATCACATCACCTGGGATGCAGGTTGGGGGTGCAGGGCCGGGTCCACCTAGCAGGGCGGAGGCTCGGTCTCTGGAGGTGAGGCTCAGGAGGCTGCACCTTTAATGAAGGCTTCGGGGAATCCTTGGGCTCCCTTGTGCTTCAAAACCACCGGCATTTTTGTTGCTGGGAGAACCTGGGGAGATTAGGTAGTGCCAATCCAGATGGCCTTGGGTCACACATCACTCTTGGACTTTGTTCTAAAGGCCATAGGGAGCCCCCAGGGCGTCTGAGCAGGGGAGGAAGGGGGAGCCGGGGAGGCCAGTTGGAAGGAAAGAGGGAGCCCACAGTTGACCACGTGCAGCCACCCGCATGAGACACTGGAGGATTTGGATGGGGATGAGGCCAGAAGGTCATTAAGCTGTGGTCCTGGGAGAGGCATGGCCTGTCCTTCCTCGGGTGGAGCTTGGTGACAGGAGCCTTGACCTTGGGATGGATGCAGGGCCACCTTCCTTGCTGGAATCTAAGTGCTGAACTTCACCAAACCAGAGAAGGCTTCCTGGAGGAGGTGATGCCACCCAGGGCCCCAGAGAGGACAAGTCAGGAGGGGAAAAAGGAGGTTCGGGCTGCGGCTGTAGCTCCGTGCTAGGGCGGGGGCCTCCCTGGGTTTCCTCCCCAGGCTTAGGAAAAAAGAAAA